TGACACTGCATTTACAGCAATCCTCTTCTTTCATATCCAGTTAAAATGGGGGCTTTATTTGTTCAGAGCTGGCATCAGACTTAACTTAGGGTACAGCAGGAAATCAGGAGCCTGAGACAATTCAAGGCGGGAGGCGTGGGTTCACACAATTGCTTCTATTGAAATTTGAAAAACAGAACTTGTGGGCTCCCTGTTGACTATAATTTCCTATTTTCTTCTCTGTAGCTTTCCCCTGACCTGCTAAGGAAAACAAAGAAGAAATCTATCCGGGTCAATGCTCCCTCTAAGCTGTGGAGTCTTGTGAGCCAAAATTCTACTTTGTGAGCTACTGGCATTAAAGCTGTGAGCGAGCGATTGGGCTGCTGCATAAATCAGTTTGCTCTGGAGCCATCCTTCCTGAGCGGAGAGAAAAACGTGTGAGCCGGAGGCTAAAAACTGTGAGCTAGCTCACACTAACTCAGCTTAGGGGGAACTCTGAATTCCAGGTCAGCAGACTGATGAACCAACCACGCAGTGTCTTGAATTAGAAGAGGACTTTGGGTTGAATCCAGCCCATTTTTTCATTCAGTCTTATCTAATTGCCCTCCTTACTACAGCCCCTTGTCCCACATGCCTTTGTCCATGCAGTTCTCATGATCCCAAACACAGTCAAAGGGGACACCCTCCTCCATTTTTCATTAGTGGAAAAGGTGGATCCAACCATGTGTGATGGCTGAATTAAGGAAGGTTACTAATGCCTTCCTGATGGTTCTATAACTTCATTTGGTGTAAAAAGCATTAGATCAGAAAAGGAATTTTATCTGCACAGCCGCAAATAACGGGATTAAAGGAACTGAGAATGGGAACAGTTAACCTCAGAACTTTTACAGACAGAAAGAACATTTTGTGGTTGAGGCATGAGAGGTTAGAAGACAATATCAATTTGTTCTTCAAGGTCAAAAGAACAGACCTATTTGGGGATGATATTGGGATATATCTGGTATTTGTTTTGGTTGAGTTTTCAGCTACAAGCTGCTTTGGTTCACTGTTACTTTGCACCATCTAGTCCCAAAAGCATACGTGCAGTTATCCATTTACTTTGTGATGTCTAACTTTTGTTTGGAATGTCTGTACATGAGAACATAAGAATATAAGTAGATCCCGATGGAGCAAACCAGTGGTCCATCTAGTCCAGCATACATATTACCATATGTCTACATTCAATGAAAGCCCAGAAAAATAAGGGAGTGTAGACATGTTGATGTGCAGCCTAATCTTGTGCATTATCTTTTTAACAGCATCTCAGGTACACAGTGAACAACCAGTTGCTCAATTTGTAATATAATTTTTCTGGTGACATAACACAAAACATAAGAACATGAATTCTGGATTGACCCTGGGGATATGCCGTTACAACTTTTGCTTTATGGCTTCAGCTTCTTTATACCTTCCCTTAGCTGTCCTTTTTTCTGATTGGTCAAAATAAAATCTCGCAAATGTAAGGATGAGACCATTTTCACTTTCCCAATTCATAATGGGTTCTCCTTGTCTGTTTGCTATGCAATTTGCACAGTAATAACCTGAAGGGTGGTTGTGACTGTTGAGTAAAAGGTTTTGAAAATGAGAGACAGAAAAAAGGTTGAGAGCAAGCCCTGGTCTCACACCCCTTAGGGATAAACTGTTTACCTTGGCATAAGCTCATGCAAACAGATAATGAGGAGGGAAAAATAGGTGCACAAAATATACAAACAATGAAATGAGGCAACTTCTGTCAGAACTGAACAATGAGAAACTCTGGTACGTAGATACCCTAAAGGGCACCTTCATAACTGAAATTGCCTCTATCACATACATAATGCAGATCACTGAAGTTAGTTTAATGAGGACGGTTCATCTAGTGATCTCACCATCTCCTGTGAAAATGTCCCAAGACTGTACTGTTTTAGATGCTGGTCAGCTAGGCCATTTAACAAGGTTGCTATATATTGATTTCTGTAACTGTTGCAGCCCTTGTACAAAATATATTGTGCGTGCATTCCTGTTTATTAATTCTAATGAGGTTTGCTTTTTTCATTCACAAAATGAGGCCACGCATCTCCATGGAATATCAGCTACTTCTGTTTCCATTGGCCAGAGGCCTAGATTTTCTAGTTTCACTAATATTTGAACATTCCTAGTGAAGCCGACAAAACTGCAGTGACATTTTTCCCCTTGCAGCAAATATCTAAAAAGCATTTGATCCTCAGAAGCTAAGAATGGAAGCTGGGGAAGACCCCATAGTTCAAGTTGGGATTTATGAATGAAGAGTTCTCTTACTGAACTGACATTACCATCATCTGAGGAGTTTGTATATAAAGAATGTCAGCACAACTAGCTGATGGCAACATTTTCAAAGCTAAAGATAGGGATGTCGTATAAAAACAGGTCATAAAAAATGCATTGCAAGACCATAACTTTAGAAAGAGAAAGATTAAGGATGACCACTGCAGACTGTAGATGGATCCCAGAGGAAGCAAGAAACACCAGTAAGCCAAGGAAAACATGAAAACAGAAACCCTAGACAATGTCTTGTCCTAGTGGTTTACCTACACTCTCTGCTCCCCTCCATAAGTCCATCTAAGGGACCAAGGAAAATCCCAAGAAACTAGAACAGACAGCAACCCTACAGTTCAATGCTTCAAGCAAGCTAACTATTCCATAAAATTGTTTGTGAGGTGTTTTTTCCTTAAAACATCTTAATCCGGCAAAGGAAACACTAGCAAACATGACATGGGAGATTGACTCTGACAAGCATTTCCCTTGGAAACACTCTTGCCTGCGCACAGAAGTGGTACAAGCAGTATCTGGAGAAAGAAGAGGAGACAGAAATAGTTGGCTGCTCTTGTACATGGAAAATCCATTATACCAGGCTTAGCCTGCCACAAGAAGTCTGGAGAGCTAATGTGTAGTGCCATGGACCAGCACCACAGTTTTCCCCAAGCAAGGTTATGTGACAGAAGGCTATTTATTTTTGAAGTAGACTAGAATCTGCTTTTAGAAGCTTCCCTCTGAAGTCAAAGATGTTCACTTCCTTATAGAGCCAAGCAGCTACTAGCAGTCAGTCTTCTCCATGTGACACCCATTAACTACATTATAATTCTCCAAATTCTCATGCCTTTTCATATTTATACTTCTGAGGATTACCTTACTAAGAGATCCTAAGCAGGTCTATTCAGAATCCTACTCAGGTATAGGAAGTGCTCTTGGGATTGCCCTGCAAGGCCCCTGATTATGGATGTTCTAGAAAACAGAAAGTTATGGATGCGTCCCAAACAAGGCTTTAACTACCTTTATCTTTACATCTCTGTGCAAGTGACGTTGCATGGATCATTGTTAAAACTACAAAGAACCCTGTGGCACCTTAAAGAATGACACAATTATCATAGCAAAAAGCTTTACTTCTTCCAAGAGCACCTCAGAAATATCTTTCTACAAAGCAGAAGGAAAATACTAAACACTTGGATTCATTGGAAGTAACTGAACTGAGACAGTGAATGTCCCCAAGCTAATTCATGGCTTCCCATAAACAGTTAATGCAGAAATAGGACTTTTTGTTTCACAGCTCCTAAGACGTGCTATATGTTTCTTCAGCACATGAATAAATTAAGTCTCACTACCTTTACCAGAAAGAGAAGTATTATTCTTCTCCTAAGGGTTGATCCAAAACTGTAGAACAAAATTTGAGTCCAGTGGCACCTTTAAGACCAACAAAGCTTAATTCTGGGTGTAAGCTTTCATGGGCACGCACACTTTTTCAGATATCTGAAAAATACGAGGAAGTGTGCATGCACACAAAAGCTTATACCCAGAATTAAACTTTGTTGGTCTTAAAAGGTGCCACTGAACTCAAACTTTGACTATTTTCTCCTAAGTGTAAGTGATAAAACTGAGAAAAAAGGGGTTGTGCCGGGTCAGCAAGATGGGGCAGACACAAAATTATAAACCACATTTTCTGGCTTCCAGACCTGATAGCCATTGTCACTATGGTTATCATGGTACTTTCACTCTGTGATGAATATTCACTTTGTCACTAGCAAAGGTAAATAAATCACATCACCACTGTAGCCTTTTAGGGACAGAAATGAAACTATTTGATATACAGCATGCTTGTGCCCAAACCTAAACAGTTGCATGCTTGAAAAATAGCCCTTTGGGAGCTACATCCCTCCTTCTTGGACAAGCGATTTCACAATGCAGTGCTATCTTGTTATGAATGGCTTCTGTCACCAAGGCCAGAGGAGTGATGTTTAAAGGGGGGGAGGAGTCACGGATGATTGCTAGCTACAATCCTGGTGCCAATTAAATGGGTGATTAAAACAATAGCCAAGCATCCCAGACCTGGAACTTTTCTGGTGCCATAACGCCAGTATTTGTCATTTTCTCTTAAATGCATACACACATCCTCAACCACAAAAAAATAATTCTTTGCCTCTTCTAGAATGAATGAGATTTGGTGGTTGAGAAATCAGTAAATTCTGCATAGAACACCATACAACAGTATTTGAAAAACTGTTCTGAATGGAATCTCAGCAATTCTGGAGAGCATCTTTATGATGCACATGAACCAAATATATTCCTTGTGGAGTCTTTTTTAATAAGTGCAAACAAGTTTGGCTTTGATTTCAAGAAAATTATCCCAACATCCCTTTCGTAAGGGCTAACAAATGAAGATATTAAACAGATCTTCCCTACTCGCTCATTTTACAAAGTTCTAAAAACACTGGTTCCCACAGCGACTGCTTGATCCGGGACAATAAACTAGTCATCACAAACCATTTTTGAGCTCTACATCGATTTCTTATTTTGGGATGTACTAAAAATTTAGAAGTGCTAAACTGTTTCTTAGCCATGGCTCTTTACCTAAACAAACCATTTTCCCTCCTCCTGAAATATTACCGCTCTATCAAGAATTAACCATTGGTAACTGAGAGTCCGGCCAAACAAAATAGTCTGGATTCGCGCTCGCTCATTCAAGAACTTACCGTAAAAATAAGAAAGCATCTCTCTACTTATCCTTTCTATCTTGGAGTTGATACTTCGGGGACGTAACAAAATCCAGAGGCCGGGAAGGGAGCGGGAGACGAGACCTTCCGTAAACCACACAAAAACCTTCCCAGGACTTCGCAAGAGTATTTCCTCGCACGAAGGCAGCGTCTGAAATCCAGCGAAGGCTGCAGCAGATCCCGCCAGTTTTCCCCTCCGAAAAGACTTGGGGAGAAGTTAACGAGCTCGATCACTTTGGGAGAGCCCTTGTCAATGGAGGGGAGGATTACTGCCGAGCCCCCGTGCGCGCCAAACTCCGAGGAGAAACAGCCAATCGCCCCCCCTTGCTCAGAGGAATCCACGCGTTTGCAACAGACAATCGAGGCGAGCGGCAGAGACAGGAAACTCCCCGCTGTAAACTCTCCACAGAAGGAAAAGTGGCCTCTGGGCAGGCTGCCCTTTGCAGCCCCGGCTGCTTTGCTGCTGTTGTTCCTTCAAAGACTCCTCCGGTTGCTTTTGTGCCTCCGCTTTCTTCCCTTCCCTGGCCACCCCTCCTCCACCCCTTCATGACAGAGACTGCCCAGATGGGAAGAGCCTACAGCTGAAGCCAGTACTGTGCCCCATCCTGAAAGCTGATCCTGCTGATCTCATCACCGAAGGCTACTAATCCAATGACCGGGGAATTAACAACAGATGGTGACGCCCCTTCTGTGCCCCCCACCTCCGCCCCACATCACCATTGAGCAAGAGAGAGCGGTATGAAAGCTGGCGCGCACCGACCCACCCTCTCTCTCTCTCTCTCTCCCTCTCGCTCCCCCGCACCCCCCCCCCCGAGTGCAATAGATCTTTTCTTGCGGTGGCACAAGCCTCCATTTCCTGCTCTGTTTCCAGAGTTCTCCTGCTACTGAGGCGGGAACTGCATTATTTAACCCCTTCTGACAAAGTGGTGTGTGGCAACCTTATAGTTCACCTTTTAAAAAACAGGAATATGAACGGTTCTTATGGGTCTGTTCAAGGGGACCAAGCAACATTTCTCTAGGACAAGTTCAAACTTGCCACTGGGGCCTTCACATATGATCCATCCCAACCGGAGCTGGATTTTAAGCATAAGCTCTGTAAACGATAGTTTAGGACCTCAGTTAGGGCCAAATACAAAAAGTAATCAGATGAAGATGGGCAGCCCTGTTAACTCTGTGGCAACAGAAACAAGCAAGAGTCCAGTAGCACCTTAAAGACTAAACATTTGTTATATAATAACTTTAGGTCATACTTTTTTGGGAGGGTTAAGGCTATGGGGGGGCTCATAAATTTTTAATCCAATCCTGATAGCATTTCATTCCCACAAGGGGAAAAAATCCAAAATAATTGATTGCAGCCTCAACCCCTCTCCCCTTCCAGGGCTCTGGTAAAATATGCTCTTTTTCTTCTTGTTTGTGCCCTGGGTCTTAAAGATATGCTGTTACCCATTCAAGACCTAAATAGTTTCTTATGAAAGGAATGACGACTCGCAGGGGTGTTCTTCACTAGCCTGTACTGTGTGCTGTATGAAAAGAAAAATTTGCTTTTGCTGAGCTGAGAAAATGGGACAGCAATTCTTCATAAAAACGAAAATACTCTACTTGCGATTGTTATACTTTGCTTTCATAGGAACCAGATGTCTTTTCTCAAGGGTAGTACTTTTCATTACAAGGGATATCACATTTTATCAGCATTGAAACAGCAGCTTTTTCCCACTGGGGGGGGTGGAACTGTACCATCTGAGTGTTCAGTCATCAGAGTGATTTGGCTATTAACAGTGCAAAGATAGGGTAGAAACACTTTAAATTAATAAATGTGCAATTAAGGGCAAATATCTTAACATTGATTCTCTAGGAATCAATCTGCTTGTTTGAAAACAAATGCCAGTTTATACATCAGGAAGAATATTTTGAAAAATTAAACCTTCTCAATGGCTTTTCATTGTATATGGAAGCTTATAATTCCTGCTACCAATCTATTTGGATTTAACCGATCGTAAAGGTATTCATTTTGAAATGGAAAATTATTCAAATATCAGCACTGGTCTGTTCCTACAGTAATATTCATTAATCTTTTTTAAAAAAAATCAGTCCAAAGGAAGTGAATTCTCATTTTGAGGATTCTTCAGTGCAAATATTTTGCCAGACAGCCCTAAAACTAGCAACAGTAAAAATAAAAAAAATCAAGAAATGTAGAAAACCATGGGAAACTATGAAAAAGTCCAATGTAGAACTGCCCCTTTTCGAGGAATAAAAGTGGATGCTTATAACAGAGGACACTCAAGTCAAGGGCTGTCTCATCAACATGCTATTATTAGAGTTATAGAGAAATATTAAGGCCCCGGTCACACGTGAGGATTTGGGCCGGGAGAGGGACGGATTGGATGTGCGGCAAATGGGCGCGATCCCACGGCAACATCTGGGAAGCGTTGCGTGCCCGTCACCGATCCGTCCCTCCCGCCCAAAACCCCGCACCAAAAAAGAACCACCCACCTGGGTGGTTCATCCGGAAAGGCCGCAGCAAGTGCAGCCGTGGGATCGCCGGCGCGTCCTTCTGCCGGCGCATCCCCGGCTCCTGGCCAAACTGCGCATGTGTGAGCATGCGCAGTTTGCCAGCCTCCCCCTCCCACCGTCGCTTTCTCCCCGGCATCTGATCGTGCTGGGGAGCAACGGCGCCGCGGCTCAGGGGATCCGTGGGATCCCGCAGCGGCGTCTCTAGTTTGGTGCGGCTCATATTAGCCGCACTTCGGCCGTCGTTTTTCCTGCCGTGTGGCAAGGACCAATGAAGGGTTATGCTTTTCAACATCCATTGAGGGCAATGCCACTATGCTAGTTAAATTGCGATGGAAGATGATCTGTGTATGATGAAACAGCCTGGGTGTCACAAGCAAATTGGATCAAGCAGAGAAGAGATTGGATTTATACCCCGCCCTTCACTACCCAAAGGAGTCTCAGAGCGGATTATAATCTCCTTTCCCTTCCCCTCCCTACAACAGACACCCTAGGTAGGTGGGGCTGAGAGAGCTCTTTCGAGAACTACTAATGAAGTCTGAAGACAGACAAGCAGATAAAGGTAGGCTGATGGTTGCCTGGAAAGGACATAGGGTTGCTAACTCCAGGTTCGAAACTTCCAGGATATTTTAGGGATGAAGCCTGTTGAGGGAGGAAGAAGAGGGGGACATCAGACAGATACAATGCCATAGACCCCACCCTCCAAACAAGTCATTTCTTCCTGGAAAGCCATTTTTGCCAATATCCAGGTGACAGCTGGAGAGCTCTTAAAGCTTGGGTGCTAATTCAAAGTGCTGGGGATGTGTTGCGTTGTGGCAGGGGACGCTGTGAGTATAGAAAATGAATTATCGACAGAGTAGTGTTTTGGAAAATCTTTGGGAATTGTTCGGTGCATTTACCATGGGGCACCCACCCAGAGCCTCTGGCATTTTCTCACTCTGCTGGCATAAAAACTAATTAAAAGCAAAATAGAGCTTTGGAGACTTTTCCATCCTCCTTTGCATCAATCTGTCTTTGTTGGCAACTCTAGGCCTGCCAGCACTCTCAGGGTGACTTCATGCCTCCTGACTGGCATTACTTCACTAACCCTGGCTGCTTGCTCCTGTTCAGCAGTAGCCTCCCTATGAAAGCTGCCTGGGTGATTTCAGACTAGCCACAGACTTTCTGCCTAACCTACCTTGCAGGGTTGCTGTACAGATCACAAAGTGGAAAAGTAGAATGACGTAAGCTGCTTTGCTCCCCACTAATGAGAAAGACAGAACTTTGCCTAGGAAAAGGCTGCTGAGAGGGGTGGAGATAAAGTTGCCATCTTTAGGTATGGAAATTCATGGAGATTTCAGGTGTGGAGCCTGGAGAGGGTGGGTTTGAGAAGGGGTGGGATCTCAGACAGGTACACAGCCACAGACATCACACTCCGAAACTGTCAAATGTGTCCAGGAGTCGTTGATATTATTCAATGATTCTATGACAGAAGGGGGAATAGTAGTTCCTATGAGGGGAATTAGTTCCTTCGTTCCTCCTCCTCCTAAATCAATCAGATATAATTTAGTTCTTTTACAATAATCTGAGATTCTACTCCCTCTTCTTTCCACTCCTTCAATCTTCTGCTTTCTAGCCAAGCCCCCTTCCGCAAGCCAGCACAGTTGCCCTCCAGCTCTTTCTGTTGTCTCACTTTAAAACTGCTGCTATTATTCACTTCACCCATCTCTTTCACTATCCCACCGTCCTGAAAAACATACCCATGAGCCCATATTGGGCCCCTGTGAACCACCACTTGCGCTGTGTTCACCACCTGACACATTACAGATTGAACACAGTTATGATCTACCAATTATTTCTACACTCAGCCAACAGTTTTGGCTTAAAACTGACAGAGCTTCCGCACCTTTGATGGGTCACACACCTTCCACTGCACTTATATAAATTGCAACACTGTTGACCTTCCTAATCTCCACAGCCCTTCTGAGCTTTCCTTAGAGAAGAAAGGCACCACTGTACCATTGCCTGAGACCACCACGATGGTTTCCCATCACAAGCAACTTCCAGGACAGAGACGAAAACTTAGAGCTGTTTTCGCACATGGACGACTATATGTGGCTTTCTCAAGGGTACGCTGCTTCCAGGATCTCAAGAGTTCGCGTCGTTGATGGGCCCCAGCAAGGAAGACTTCTACCCCATTCTGACAAAAGTCTTCACCAGAAATGTTGTCTACAAAGAGATTATTCAGTCATCATGATTTCACTGTTTCTCTGTAGATCTGCCTCCAGGGACTAAGGATCTTCTGTGTAACAACTCTTCACCAAAACATGCTACTTTGTGCACAATAACAACTGTCCTTCTAACTGCAGCCAGTACGTTCTGAATGCATGTACACTATCCAGACACTACCCACTGCTTAGGCATACCTTTACTGCCTCTACCTCCTGGCCCACAACAAACACCAACAACACACTGCCACTATGCCTTCTATCGGGTGCCAATTAACAACTCCCACTGTTTTTTAGCACAAATACTCATATGGCCACATTCATCTTCTACCTTCACGTCACTTCTGTCCTGACCTCTACGACTACCTCTGACCTTGCCCCCCCCCACTTCCCTTGACACCTCTCACAGGGCACACGTGACGACCACTTGCTCAGACGTGCAAAAGAGACACCAGATGACTTTGCAAAATGCACAGATACAGAACTTACTGAATGCTGCACCCTGTCACGGCTTTTCCAGCCCTACGCATCCCAAAATCCATTACCTGGGTGCTGCAACCTTACATCATACGACCACGGACAACAATTACTCTGTACTACCATAAGGTATGCTGTTCTTCACTCCCACATTAGTTCTTTACACTGCAAAATACTACTCTGTGTTTACTCTGCCTGCAAGATACAAAATCATTGACCCCACCCTCTTTCTAGAGCTTGTTGTATTTTTCCCCACAGTGAGCCTTATTCCTAGTCTATAAT